TGGCTGCATGACAGAAGTAGAAAGACTTATTTATTGCAGCCTGAATAAAACAAAGCCTTTTTTAACCCAGAGTTTTCCAAAATGGGACTCGTTCATTCAATGAGTACTTACCAACTGTGCTTCATACACCAGGCACTACGCCAGGTGCTTCGATCTCATGATCTCCAACACTCAATACTCTTGCAAAAAAAGGTCAGAGCACCCTCATTTTATAGGAGACAAGACCAAGAATCCTGCTAGTAAAGAAGCTTGCCTAAAGTTGCACAGCTGGTGAGCAGAAGAATTAAGATTTAAACCAGGTCTGCCTAGCTCCAAAAGAGTCAATCACACTGTTTCAGCACTGTCAGCAACAACTGTCCCAGCCCAGGATCAGGGAGGGTCCCTCCTCTCCAGCAGGGCAGCCCAGGGAAAGTAACAGACAAAGATACAAAGAACTCACCACACAACACATAAGTGACAAAGTGACAGAACGGAGGCTCACACAAAGTGCTGGGCAGGGGAGGGAAGGAAACCAAGACTCACTGGAGGTGACAGAGGAGCTGGGTCTTAGCAGATAAGCGGTTGTAGAGGCAAAGGTGAGCCTTACAGGACAAGTGAGAAATAAGTGAATGAACAACACAATAGGCTGGGGAAACTGAGGAATTTAGAAGCCATAAAGCACAAGACAGATGGAGTTAGGGGCGGCAGCAAGTCAGGATAGAGGACTGGGCTTGGGCCAGAGTATAAACCCAAGCTAAAGAGGATGGACACTATCTTGAGTAAGACAGAATCCACAGTAGTATATCTAAAGGAAGAATTTTGTTTAGGGTATTTTTTTGCGGGGTGGGTTCTGAGACAGGGTCTCACTGGTTTTGAACTCACTATGTAGCCCAGGCTGGCCTCAAACTCACAGTGATCCTCCTACCTTAGCCTCCCAAATTCCTGGATTACAGGAATGTGCCACCACACACAGTCTAAAGGAAGAGTTTTTATTTTATTTTATTTTTTATTTTTTGGTACTGGGAATTGAACTCAGTACCTGTGCTTGCAAGGCACGTAGTGGCACCACTGAGCTAAATCCCTGGCCCCTAAAGGAAGAGTTTTTAACAGTAAAATAATGTTAACAGTGGTATGGAAGACAGAGAGAATGCCACATTTCATTCACTCTGCCCACAATGTGGCATTATAAAGCACCCACTGACTGAGTACCTGTCATCTTGTCAGTCAGACAAGTAAATAAGACACACGAAACAGCTGAAGTTATAGAAGCAAGCCCAGAAGAAAGGCACTGAAGAACAGTGAGGTCCTAAAGGAAAGGATGAAAACTGAGCCCTGAAAGACAAAAAGGAAGGGAAAGGGATGGGGGCGGGGGAGAGGTCAGAAAATGCAGACAGTAGTGCTAGTGTGTGTGAAGATCCAAAAGCTAGGAAGGATGAGCTAAGTGCAAGGACTTAGTAAAATACTGAATCCAAGCTGGGCATGGTGAATGGAATTTTGAGCCCAAACTAAGCAACTCAGTGATTCAGCAAGACCTTGCCTTGAAATAAATTTTTGAAAGGGCTGGAGATATACCTTAGGACAAAGACCCTGGATTCAATCCCCAACACCACAAAAACAAAATCAACAGGCGGAATCCAGGTCAGAAATAAAGACTGAGTTTACCCAGAAGTCCAAATACAGTAGTGAGAAAGAAATGAAGAGAGTGGATTCAAATATTGAACAAGGGGACTAGTAGAAGTCAACTTACACAACGAAAAGAAACGGTAATGGGGAGAACTAGCTTAAAATCCATCAGCCTTCATCCTACAATTCAGATATTTGCTAAAATAGACCTGAATCCAGAAGATCTGAGGACTTCTTGTACTGAAACAAAACAGTGTACTCTATAAAGATAACATGTTTCAGCATGCCAAGTGTAGCACAATCAAGATAAAGGACATCAGTAACCCCGGGACACAGAGCTTCTAAGTAAACAGAGGAGATCAAGATTGACAGATGCTGTCTACCTCTCAGTATCACACGTCCCACAACAGATAGGAAAGTTCATCACAGGGCTGGCCCAGTGTTTTGGGTCCCAACTCCCTCAAAGCCTGTATAGACACTAGGTGTGTGCCTGCTCTGATGGCAAGGAGAGTCATTTAAGAAGAAAAAGATGGGCCCTGAGGGTGTGTTTAGCAGACAAGACGTGACTCAGAGGAGTCTTAAATACAGAGCAAAGGAAAGCCAGTCAATCAAATCTCATGCACACCTCTGCCCAGACTGCAGGGAGCCTCCTGCCTGGCTACAGGGAAGAGCCTTGAGCCCTGGCAAGGGCCTTCATCAGACACCAGGGGCTTTGGCTGAAGCAAGCATATATCTGCTTCCTACTCTCCTTACACTGAGAGAATGGAGCCCTTTAAAAAGCCACTTACTTTTTTTTTTCCTGGGGTAAGTTGCTATTTGCTATTTTTAAAAGAAAAATTATATCCAGCCTGTCTATAAATGTAACACTGTGTCCTCTTCAACCGCTCATGTCAGTGATGAAAATCAGAAATGTGCCTGATTCTAAATTAATACATAGACCTTTATCCCCAGCTTGCTTAGAGTAGATCCTAATGTCCATCAGCTTGCCCAAGCCAGGGGCAAAGGTTTCCAAAGGGCAGTCACCAAGCAGAAGCAGGGAGAGAGCACTCAGTTTTGGCTGAAGTTGCACATGAGCTCCCTCACTACTGTCTCTTATTATTTCTGAGGCAAGATAGGGTTGTGATAAAGAGCTCATCCCCCCCCACTCCCAATGTTTTAAATAACCAAAAAACTGTTCATTACAATATGAACATGCATCCAACCATCAAGACAAACAAACATCAACCAGGACAGTCAATTAGGCAAGAGATACAAATTACAACTAGGCATACTGAGGCCTTTGGATTGTTTTAGCCCAGGTTC